CCAGAGCCTAACAATTCATAGTGTAGTTTCAAATAAATAAATAAATCTAGAAATATTTCATTTTTCACACTTAAATTTGGATTCTGATACTTTATATCAGTTATGGGAGTCCACTAAACTGAATTATATGTTGCTCCTGCTTTATTTTATTTTTTTTGTCCTGAAGAGTCGCAAAAATTTTAGACATTTCCATTTGGATTGTTCTGTCTAATGCAGTAAATAAGGTGAGAGGTGTTTCAATTTAAAATCGGAGTTTCATGCACTCTCTCTAAAATTGACAAAAACGATCAGATCGTCTTGAAAACTGATTGGCCAACTGAGTTGTTTGTTGTGGGGGAAATTGGAAGTCATTTCAACAAAGGGTTCCTGAGATACAATAGCCTAAAATGAGCTGTTCTCAAGTTTCCCCCACAACAACAAACTCAGTTGGCCAATCAATTTTCAAGCCAATCTGATCGTTTGTCAATTTTAGAGAGAGTGCATGAAACTCGTTTTTAAACTGAAACAGCTCTCACCTAATTTACTGCATTAGACAGAAGTCCAGAAACTGAGACATCCTCAACCACACTGTTAAGTGCTTACTAATGTGGGATTAATTTTCTACCCATCAAAAATTAATCAAATCATGCTGCAACTAAGCATAAAATGTAAACCCAAGCACATGAGTCACATTTCTACAGAGGTCTGTAATTATCAACATAAAATAAAGTCCTTCTCTGCTAATATAGGGGGATTTTTTTTAAGTGTGCGAACTGCAGTTGCTTCAGTGCCCAGTTGTTTATTTTGCTCAGCAATTAGTTCAATTAAAAGTGCACATATTAATGAAGCATATGAAATCCAGCAGAGGTAAAGTAAAGCCTGCTGCCTTCAGTTTGGCTGATGGAAGCATTGCTTAAACAACTGTACTACTCTCTGTTTTGTAGCCATTTTAAGTGGGATTATCACAGGGAACACCATGCCCTTCAGAACAGCCACAAAAAGGCTAACAAGACATTCCTGCTTGGTCTAATTGTGCGTCTGTTTATCTAGACCACCCACCCCAAGTGGAATGAAGATCCATAACTGCCCAAGTGTCTTAATAAACTGGCATTTGTGGGGACAGTTTTCCACTCCAGGTTAGCTAAAGATAATGTCTTCTTCCAGAGTCCCATGATTGTCAAATAACGTTAAGTACAATATTAAATACTATACTTCCCAGCCAAAATAAACTGAGCAATTTAAATGCAGTTTACTCAATATGGACATGATCCTTCCTCACTGAAGTCAATGTTTATTTTGCCATGGATTTTAATGGCAGTAGGGTCAAGTGAGATTCTTGACATACTAGCTTCACAAGAAAAAGGCTCCAATCTTTTACATTCTACCAGTGATAGTTTTCATTTTTTCAGATATTTTCCCATTATCTGCCACAGTAAATATAACTGTAGCATTATTATTGATGCTAGAGTAAACACCTAATATATGTTGCACAAGCATTTGCTGCATAATGAATCAAAGTGACATACCTACCTATCTTTCCCATCCATATATTCTAATCCCATCATAGAATTTTTTTATGAGTTGCAAAGGAAAGTGGTCAAGTTATAAAAATAGCTTATTCATAAAAACATATCAAATATCTGATCAAGAAAAGATGTTTTGAAGGTCACTGAGACCAGTTAAAAAACTGAAGCTTTCAGACTTGTGAAATAATCTGCTAGGCAAATTTGAACAGAGTCCCTCAAAGACCTTCTTTCAGTAGGTTATATATAACAGTTCATACTTTTTTCTATTTTTTTCTTCAAAAAATCAACAAAGTTAAAAAAACACAATTTAAGTGTGATGTTCAAGAGTTTATAATTTGACTCATTTGGTGGTCTTTATGATCTTTGGCACCCCCTCACCGGCTAGCCTGCTTGTTGATTTCTTGCTATGCCCTTTGGCCAGGTCTCTGGTTGTCCTTTCCCCAATTGGGGTGTTAAAGAGTCCAATACTTCCAGAGGCCAGTGGCCCTAGATGAGGGACACACAGTCCTTGGGCCCTTCAGGTATGGCTCACTTGTTCAAGGCCTTAATAAACCCCCCTTGCTGAGCTTGGTGGGAACCAGGTCCACCGACTATCTTGGGTTCCAAGTCAGGGACACTGTACAAAATGGTTGGTAACAAGCTCTCACAAACTACTTACTTTTTTCCTGGCCTACTTCCTACAGTGCCTGTCTTGCAAGCTGTTCCTCAGGGTTACCCTGTGGTCCTGTCCCCAGTCGCCTGGGCAGCTTCTCATCAGAACCATTGCTGAAGTCTCCTGATCTCAGTGGGTCCTCAGCTTCTCTAGCAGCCACCCACCCTTCTGCTCTGCAATCCTTTAATCTCTGCAGTTTTTGTGAGCCCCCAATCAGGCCCAGCTGAGCAGGCAGTCTCCCTATTAACCCTTTAGCAGCTGAGACAGCACAGGGTTTGTACACCCCAGACAGACCCATAATGCCAAAATAGCATGGGCCTTTTCTCCACCACCTTGCATCTTGTGTAGTCTTTTAAACTGTGCAAACACTACCTGATTTCAGGGAATTTTGTGCTGACTTTCAACTAGGGTGACCAGACGTCCCGATTTTATCGGGACTGTCCCGATATTTGCTTATTTGTCCCACATCCCGACCTACCTTCGGTCGGGACGCGAATTGTCCCGATATTTTGCCTCCGCTCACAGGTGGAGCAGAGCCCGGAGGGGGCTCGCGGCACCCCCGCCCCAGCCCCACCCCCTCACTGCCCCATTGGATCCCTCTCCAAATCCCCACCCTGGTCCCGCCTCTTCCCCAAGCACGCCGCATTCCTTCTCCTCCCTCCCAGGCTTGCACTGATC